CGAAAATACGGACATTTTAAATATGTTTTGTTCCTTTGTTAATTAAAATTGAAATGTTTTACTGTAAGGACGCTATTCATGGTTAAAATAATGTTAAACATGCTAAAAGTGTAATATTTAAGGTTACACAAGTAGTAATAAACGGCTAATCTTAGAATATATGCCGGGACATTATACCGTGGCCGGGCTGTCTGACCCGTGTATTCTACAGGACAGTCAAGCTGAAAAAGAGCTTCATTACCAGGTTCTGTGACACTTTCATCATTATACCTGGACAAGTAGCGTGCCTGTAACGAGCACAGGGTTGGGCCCTTGTAAGTTCGTCGATGTCTTCAAGAAACTAATCTGAAGAACCAAATGACCCGATCCATCAATGATTTAACCACAGCTCGCTTGTGCATACCAGGATGGTGCGATGAAAAAGACAGATACGGATCAGTGTTGGTAGATTTCCGGTAGACGGTGGTGGTTAATCTTCCGTCTTCATAGTGGTGAACCATGGAGTCAAGGAAGGCAATTTTCCCCTCGCTTTCGCGTTTAATCGTGAGTTACGTTGGCGAGACGCAGAGAAAATTCATAGTAAGAAAAGGCGAGCACCAAAAGGCTGTCGCGCGGCGACAAGGCGAAAGATCTGCACTTGCTGACCACGTGATAAAAAAAAAATCACGATATCGCATGGGATGAGGACGCAATTCTCAGGACTAACAATAACTGGCACCAACGAAAGATTCTCAAGGCCTGGGAGATTAACTGCGCCAAAGACCCACTCAACTGAGGCGACGGGGCGTTACTCCCCAAGGAGTATTTACACTTGACTTTCGCTCACAAGAAAAAGTGACACGTATCTTGAATTTTAATCAGCGTCTTGTCTATATCTGTGCTTTTGCATAGAATTTTTTCTTTCACTCACCCCTGAAGAAGGTCCGTGATTGCGACCGAAACGTCGGGATCATTTTTATTGTTTATAATGTCAGAAACGATTTTAACCACCAGTGTAACTTAATTTGTATTTTCAAATGTTTTTAAATAAAGTTGAATGTTCCTAAACGTGATTCTTTGGAGAAGTGCTATGGAAAAATAAGCCTCGTTGTTTTACTTATTTTATTGCCATAAGCTAAGCTACCGGCGTAGCATGAAAAACTGAGGCATTCATTGTTTTCGGATTTTTTCGGAAAAACGTTTATCGCTTACTGCCCTTTGCCCTTTTCCTCGTTTAAACAATTTTTTTACATCTTTTGGATTCTAAATAATTGAATATCGAAGGTGAAATTTCGCGGCCAATTTGTCATTTAGAAAATAGCGCTAAAGAAAATTTTTGATAAACCGGGGCGTAAATAAGTTCTTGAGGTCAACCAGTCGCAAAGAAACCCCATTTAATAAGCCACAAAAAGAGAACAGTGTGCGATGGATAAATGCCTCAGTCTGAACGGGTCACATTGGATGCAGTTTCGCGATTATGATCGGCCTTAGGGCTCAATACTCGACCTATAGGGAAAAACTAATCTTTAGTCAGATTGGTGAAACTTTCCTGATCATCTTATACATTAGCGACATTTCTATGTCGGTAATTCCATCGCTCATTTATTTTTACTTGATATACGCTAACAAATAAACAAACAAAGTGAAACTGAAAAACCCTGTTAATCGCAGACATTTGAAGTCCGCGAAAGAGGGAAAGAGGGGGAGGGGAGAGGGGGGGGGACAGATTTTCGAAAATAATAATAATAATAATAATAATAATAATAATTTAATAAAAATTTAATAATAATACATTAGCGACATTTCTATGTCGGTAATTCCATCGCTCATTTATTTTTACTTGATATACGCTAACAAATAAACAAACAAAATGAAACTGAAAAACCCTGTTTATCGCAGACATTTGAAGTCCGCGAAAGAGGGAAAGAGGGGGAGGGGAGGGGGGGCAGATTTTCGAAAATAAAAAGAATATCGCTGTCAGTCAAGGTATTCAAAATTTTTGAGAGGTGTGCTAACATGCATTTCAACGTACATGTGTATTGAACTAAGACTGCAGTACATATTGAAGACTGTTGTTCAATGCTACTTCTACGTGCAAGGTTCATGGTTACTTGAGTCACGTCAAAAGATAGAAGTGTGTTGTCATACTGTTACAAAAGAAACGAACGAACGCGGTCTCAAGTAAAGTGTCTATAGATCTGTCCTTTCCTGTTCGCTTTTATCAACAGCTATGACTCGATGGTCTCTGATAATAAAAAAAAAAAAGCTTTGATAAAGAGGTCTTTTCACGATTTGGGCGTTGATTTTGCAAGCTAATTATCTACAGTGCGTTACAGACTTATCCATACTTATTCAACTTCGATCTTGAAAGGTTTTCGGGTTTTGTACTTTCTCCCGCTTTTATGTTTTTCTACCTAACCAGGCTAACATTTTATGGTTTACTCCAGGCTTAAACTCAATTTCGCAGCAAAAAATGATCCAAAATTAAAGCGTATTTAATGGGCGATCAATTTTAAGGTAT